CTCCTTCTCCAATTACCATCCGACACAAATGACTACCCATGTTTTTTTTTTTTTTTTTTTTTGGGTTCATTAATTCCATGCAATGTCTTTTTTAGTAGCAATAGTGACTCAGGAATTGATATGAACGACAAGTAGCATGTAGGAGGTTTTTGGTCCCCCTCCAACAATGGTCCCCAATTCTAAGTTGATTGAGATCATAGCAATAAGAGAAAAGACAAATATATGAAGGATACAATTGGATGAGCTTTCTGCAAGTGGAAAGAAGATCCAACAAAGAAGACAAATATATATATATATACACACACACACAAGGAAAATATAGAAACATGCATGAAAGCAGTTGTTATCAACCTCTGAGCATTTTCTGCTAGCACATATTGTTCATGTCTCCCTTTCCTACATGTTCACATGTGCCTCACTTCCCACTCTTCATTGACTCCCTGGCAAATCGTTTTGATCAGTTAGAATTACATCAATTTAACCTAAAATGCCAAGAAACAAGAGAAGGGAAGGTCACACACACACAAATAAAATAAATTACTAAATGGAGGATCCCTATAGTTTAAAATCTAAATAGGAGGGCATTATTTAGACCCGTGTAGCCCATCACATTTCCGTTTCGATGATCTAAATTATTCATATTGTCGAGTACTTCCTATATTTCATCCATACAAAAAATTAGATCGATTCGATAATTATAATTTGTTTAATTTATCATGTTTTTCACAAAAAAACAAAAAATAAAATTGGAGGACAATTGTATTTTTAAAAGAGTATTTCTATTTATGCTAAAATATTAGACCCACTTTCTAAACTGAATGATGTAACACTCTATTAAGAAAAAAAAGTTGACTGTCTTTCTCACTTATTCTCTAATCATCAACTGATCATCTTATTTACACATCCTTGGGTGTAGAAAATGGTATTGCATATCATTTTTCTTTTAGAAATAAACCATACATTTTTTTTGAACTACGGGGAATCCTTCTACTAAATTGTTCTCACGCAACATGAAAAATATGTATTTTTATTTAGAGCCTAGGAAGTACAGATATGGATACGGCGATACGTCAAAATTAGAAAAAAAAAAAAATACAAGTATGGTTGGGATACATTCGTAAGAAAAAATAATTTTTTTATAATTTTAATAATATAATATTTGTGAAAATAAAATCTAAAGCAAATTAATAAATAAATATAAGGGTTCCTATTAAGTTAAGAGTATTCATGCATTCATAAAATATCCAAACTAAAACACAGGCCAACACCAAAAGCAAATTAAAAAAATAAAAAAAATAAAAAATTAGAGAGAATTCTATTAAAAATTTGACAAAGAAATACTAACAATAAAGCACTGTATTGATTGATGTGTTTTTGAGTGTGTTTTTTTTAAAAAAAAAAAAAAAAGAAAAAAGAACCAAACAATACAATTACAGACAATCAAAACCCAAAAATCTGAAAAAATAAAAAAAAAAATTAAAGAGCGAGAGACAGAGAAAGAAAAAACGAGAGGTAGAGAGAACATGTTGTTGTTGCTATGGTCAATCAAGAAAAACGAACCAAATTTTTTCTTTATCCACTGTTTGGTTGGAAAATTTGAAAAGGAATTTGGAAAGAGAAAGAAAAAAGGTGTGTGAAACTAGATAAAATTTAGGCATGTTTTATTCACATTTCACCTATCTTTTTCATTTTCCTTTCCAAATCCCTCCTCAAATCCCCCAATCAAACACAGCATTAATGTTTCTTTGATTTGTCGATCGAGACAGAAAGAACCAGTTTCGATTTGTAGATTTGAGCTTAGGGTTTTTCTTCTCATTGTTTTTGTTGATTTTGGTTCATGCGTATATGTCGGTTTGAGGATCTAATTTGTATTATTTCAATTTCACTTCTTTTATTTACGGTTTGACCCAGGAAAAAGCTTTTCAAAATTATGTTTTTTGTCCTGCCGTATCCCAAAAGTATCTACGAAATATCTCCCACATATCCATGCATATTCAAACCATATCCAAAATTCAAAAAAATAAAAAAGAATGAGATACTTTCTAATCATATCCGATACTTATACGCTACCTATTTTGAAGTATTTGTGCTTCAAGTTTAGTGCGTATTCACTTGAATACACTGGAAAAAAGAAAAAATAAATAAATAATTTAATACAGATAATAGTATATGTTTTGGGTGACATTTGTTAATTAAAAATAAATAAATAAATAAAAATTAAACACCCTACAACTAATCATCTCTCAATATTTTTTTGCACACGTTATGCTACTGTCACTTTGTTTTTTTTAATACATGGGCTGTTTGATTTGAATTTATTTCATCAAAATTTTAAACAACTTTTTTATTTTTATTTTTTTATTTTATTTTGCCGCTTCATTAAAATAAAATAATAATAATAATAATTTCTATCTAACTTCCAAACTTGATTTTATTTATTTATTTATTTTAATGTATCCATGAAGTTAGCGGTTTGGCCAAAAGAGTTCATGCAGCGCACTATAAGGTTGGAGGTTTAATTTAATTTAATTTTTTTCCACACTGTAATTGTTTTATCAAATATAATTTATTTTATTAAAATATCTTAACAACGAGTCCCACATGTGAGTTTCAAACTTATAAAATAATTGTGTCTTTATTTTATATTCAATTTTCATGCACATAAACTTGCTTGTAGTTAGAGTGGTAAAGGGACAAAATATAAACGGATCGGATCCAAGGCTTGGGTCGGCCTAATCCATTAAAGCCAAGTCCAAGTGGGTCAGATGAATTTGTGGGTAAGCCAATCAAGCCCAACTCCATGATCAACAGTCCACCCAAGTCCTCAAGTACTTGAGCCCAACTCATAGTGGAAAGGTCAGTCTAGCCATGACACTGGGCTGGGCCGAGCTGCAGGACTCAATCTTTGGACCGACCTGATGGGCTGAACCCATCACCAAAAACCAAAGTGGGCCGAGCCCACACAAAGATATCTAAATAGGCTAACCCATCTCTAGAAACAGTCTCACAAAGGGCCGAGTCGAGGCACAACGGAGCTAAGAAAACCTTTCAGAGAAACGTGGAAGCTATGAATGTATGCATGTGCAGACTACCACCTTAGCTGGTCCCCTCCCCCTAGAATCATGGAAATGGTTGATCAAGGGAATGTGGTTTGTTATCCGCATGGGGACAACGAGTATATGCATCCATTGTCAAATACCTCATGGTCCCCTACCTTGAGTAATGTTCAAGGGAGCATGGTAGCACCAAAGTCTCATGAAACCATCTTGGACAACAAGTAAGGAGTTCTATATAAACTATAAGGACTTCACATTGAAGGTAACTAAGTGGAGCTATAATATACTCACTTGAACACAACTCTCGACACTTAGAGGGCACATCCCATCTTCGTCGATCACTTACTCCCACACCAGAGGGGTTATCCGGCCAGTTCCGGCTGGGCAGCTCTAACGGTGCTCATTGTTGTAGGGACTCAATTCCTGGATAGTCCAGTTGGGTGCAGAGGTCCGGTCCACAATCATCTAGTACGGTATTTGGTACGCACAATTGGTACGGTAAACGTGGATTTTTATCTTCGAGTTCTGCATCTGATTCCGACAATGGGAATTGAGGATATTCCACCATTGGCATTAACTCCACAAACGGAGAAGACGAAGGATAAGGGCCTGACACTGCCAGCAGCTTTGGAGGAGCAGACCGGAAACAACAACCGTATTCCGAAATTTATTGAGCATCGACAGCCCTTTGTTGGTGGTTCGTCCCACAATTTTCTGTTGTAGAAAGACTATAGGGATCATATCATCGATTCCATGGGAATGGAGATACATAAACTAAAAGTGCAGCTCAAAAGGATGATGGGCGACCCGACAGAGAAGAGCATTGACACAAAACCCTCTCGTCTACACCGGAGGAGCCCATCCTTAGAACCATAAATGAAGAAGGTCCCCAGAAACCAGTCTAGGCAGCAAAGTCAGCCAATCCTGGTGCAAAGTGAAGCAGCGAGTAGCCACACCCGTGGTTCACGCCGGAGAAGAACTAAGAGGTAGAAAGCGGCTAGCAAGCAAACAGAGTATCCTCCTTAGGATCTTCGTACTTGGTTGGTCGGGAATAGACAAAATGGGCAATGACGAGAGCGTCAGGCTCAACACCTTGATCGTACTGTCCATCAGAGAGAGCACCGAGCACTAGATCGACTCGTCTCCTCTCATTTCTCCCCATATATCGACACTATGAAACCCCCCAAGAAGTTCACTTCACTAAAATTCATGTCATATGATGGAAAACTAGACCCGTTAACACATATCAGCCACTATCGGCAAATGATGTCCTTGTGAAGCCAAGATGAGGCACTAATGTGCATAGTTTTTCCATCCAGCCTAGGAGAATCTGGACTCCGATGGTTCGATCGTCTCCCTGCTTGATCGATTTATGATTGGAAGCAGCTCTCTGAAGAATTCGTGGCCAAGTTTGTTTCCAACACCAGAATTCCGAAAGAGCCGGACACCTTGTTCGGTCTCCGAAAGGAACAGAAAGAAACACTGCGTAATTATACAAGAAGGTACTAGGAAGAGTATAATGATTTGGAGGAAAATGTTTGCAATGAACAGATGGCTGTAATGTCTTTTAAACATGGTCTACGTCTAGAAAGCAAGTTGAGACAATCACTTACCAAACGCCCAGCCACAGCACTGAAGGACTTACGTGTCAGGATTGAGCAGTACACTCACCTTGAAGATGATCAAATCCCCACTGAGGTGGCATCGACTGAATAGACAACTCGGGGAAACAGAATAAGAGCAGATCAAGGGAAACCCCGAGGAGTTGCAGTGAATGAAGTAGACAAGTCTAAATCCCACGAAGCAGTAGTTACAGTCTTCAAAGAACCTATCTATCATATTATTGAGAAAATCAAGAGAGAGTCGTTCTTTACTTGGCCGCCAAAGATGCTAGGAGACCCAGCTCGGCGCAACCAAAAGCTCAGATGGACCTATCATTAGGACATGGGGCATATGACTCAAAACTGCCGAGCATTGAAGCAACACCTAGAGGAATTGGTAGCTGCTGGGCACCTCCAAGAATACATTGATCCAGACAAAGTGGTAACCGAGCAGGAGAACTCCCCACCAAAACCAAACGCAGAGCATTTGTCTCGATTGGTCATAAATGTAATTCATGGCACAACTGGTCACGAGCGAGAAGAGACACTTCAGGAAGAAATTGCAAAGGTCGTGCAGATTCAGCAAGTCATGTCAGTGGGTTCAGCATCGAAAAAGGTACGAACAATACCTAAGACTCCCTTATGTAATGTTTCATTTACTAAGAAGGACTTAGAAGGCATTCAGAACCCACACACTAATGCACTGATTATAACTATGGGAATTGAAAAATGCTTTGATGTGAAACGAGTCTTGGTAGACCAAGGTAGCGCAACAAATATATTGTATTACGACTTGTTCAGAAAGCTTGGTCTCTCTAGGCAGCACCTCACCCCAGCAGCAGCACCGTTGGTCGGTTTAAATTCGCAGCCTGAGTGGCCACTTAGCAGGATAGTGCTGCCTGTAGTGGCTGGGACAAAGACCCTTCAGATAGAATTCCTAATTATCAACACATCGTCTCCCTACAATTCCATACTTGGTTGGCCTTGGATTCATCAAATGGAAGCAGTCTCCTCAACCTACCACCAGCTTCTCCGCTTCTTGACGTAACACGGAGTAGAGCAGATCTCAGGGGACCAAGTTGACTCGAAGCATTGTTTCATGGCAGCCATGAAGGCTAAACAGCTCTGCAATCATGTTCAGACAGTTGAAGTAGCAGAGCAGTAGGTCCTCGTCGGAGGAACCCCAGTTGAGAAGATAGTAGAGGATCTGGAGAAAGTTTTAGTAAAATAGGGAGACCCAGAGAAGTACTTTCTTATCAGTACCTCACTAGGCGCTGATGAGAAACTTCAATTGCTGGATTTACTGAAGGAAAATATGGAGGTATTCGCATGGTCAACATATAATACTCCGAGGCTAAATCCAGAATTTGCTTGTCATAAGCTTAACGTCAACCTTTCTGCTCGGCCTATTGTACAGAAAGGCCGAAGATCTTCAGTTGAGCATATCGAGGTAGTCATTCCGGAAATCAATAAACTTCTAGTGGTCGGGGCAATTCAAGAAATTCAATACCCATAGTGGCTGTCCAACACAATCGTAGTCAAAAAGAAAAAAATGGAAAGTGGAGAGTCTGCGTCGACTTTACTTGCTTCAACAGAGCTTGTCCAAAAGACAGCTTCCCTCTTCCTCGCATAGACCAGCTGGCAGACTCAATAGCGAGGCATGGGCACAAGAGCTTTCTGGACGCTTACAGCGACTATCACCAGATACCTCTGTTCAGCCCAGATCAAGAGAAGATGACATTTATTACACCAAGAGGCATCTACTGCTATAAAGTAATTCCGTTCGACCTTAAAAATGCCAGAGCAACCTACCAGCGAATGGTAACTCGAATGTTCAAAGAGTAGCTCGGTCGAACTATGGAAGCATACATAGATGATATGGTAGTAAAAAACAGGCTTGCTACAAACCACCTCACAGATCTAAGAGAAGTTTTCGATATCCTGAAAACCCATCAACTTTGCCTCAATGCCTCAAAATGCGCTTTGGAGGGAGAAGGAAGTTCTTGGGGGACATGGTGACTCGCAGAGGAATTAAAGCGAATATGGATCAAATCAAAGAAATATAAGAGCTTGGAGTACCAACAAAGGCCAAGGAACTACAGAAATCAACCGGGATGGCGCCAGCCCTGAATCGATTCATTAGCAAATCTTCAGACCGAATGAAGCCTTTCTTTCAGCTACTGAGAAAAAAGGTTGCATTCGAGTGGGGTTCTGAATGTACTAAAGCACTACAAGACCTCAAGAAGTACCTCAGTACACCACCTCTCCTTTTCACTCCAGAACCAAGGAAAGAATTATACTTGTGTTTGACAGTTTCAGATCATGCAATAAGCGCAGTACTGATTCGTGAAGTTGAAAAGGAACAGAGGCTGGTATACTACGTCAATAAGACTCTCCTGGATGCCAAGGCGAGGTACCTACCATTGGAAAAGCTGGCATACGCCCTACTTATCGCCTCAAGGAAGCTATAACATTACTTCTAGAGGCACACAATCAATGTCCTCACTGAATTCCCTCTCAGGTCTGTCTTCAACCGGGCTGACTTCTCTGGTCAAATAGCGAAATGGGCGGTTGAGCTTGGTGAGTTTGACATTCGGTATCAACCCAGAATAGCAATCAAGGACCAGGTCTTGGCGGATTTTGTCTCTGAATTCACCCTCACTCAGGGCATCGAACATCAGAACTTTAGCTCGGTACAGGTGTCACGCACCGCCGAACTAGGAAAACAATATGCTATAGAAGCATGGAAACTCTTCATTGGTGATATCTGGCAGCTCTATGTTGACTGATCATCCAATAACCGAGGCTCGAGGGTAGAGGTGGTACTCATATCTCCAAAAGGATTCATCTGGGAGCAAGCTTTGAGGCTTGGCTGGAAGGCCTCTAACAACCAGGCAGAATATAAAGCACTACTGGTTAGATTGCGCAGTGTTGAACACTTCAGTGCAGATCAACTCTTGGTTTTCAGTGATTCTCAATTGGTTGTCAATCAACTCACTGTGATCTATGTAGCAAGAGATGAAAGAATGGCAATATATGCAGACAAGGAAAGAGATTTACTTAAGAAATTCCAATCCATATGAGTGGAATGGATCAATCGGGACAGAAACAGTCTTGCTGATGCTCTAGCCTACCTTGGCTTGTCAGTGAATAGTAAAGATGCTAGAAAAGTTTGGGTTGAGTTTGTGTCAGAAATAAGCATTGCAACTCCAGATTCGGTCCTCTGCACTAACCTGGAACTGAGCTGGATGGATCTAATACTTGTTTTTCTAAGATCTGGCATTCTCCCCGACGATAAGAAAGAGGCAAACAAAGTTCGTCATCGATCAGCTCGGTTCTGGATCTCACTATCTGGGAAATTGTATCGACGTTCTTACCTTAGCCCTTATCTGCTATGTGTGCATCCAAATCTCGTCGAGAATGTTCTTTATGACATTCATGATAGGATTTGTGGAAGCACGTTGGGGGAAGGTCACTAACGCACCGTGCTCTTACTAATGGGTATTGGTGGCCATAGATGCAGCAAGATGCACAACAGTACTTTCAGAAGTGTGATAAGTGTCAAAGATTTGCTCCGCTAATTCATCAGCCAGCCAAAAATCTTACTCCACTTACTAGCTCATGGCCTTTCGCTCTGTGGGGCTTGGACATCATTGGACCTTTGACACGGGGGGACTGGGAATAGACAATTCTTCATCGCTGCAACCAACTACTTCACCAAGTGGGTGGAAATTGAAGCACTGGCAAGCATCAAAGAAGCAGACACAAAGCAGTTTAATATGAGGAATATCGTGGTCCGTTTTGGTATCCCACGGGTACTGATTACCGACAATGGAACACAATATGACGAAAAGATTTTCAAGAAGTTTTGTGTCGATCTCAGGATTGAATATCAAAATTCGTCTCCAGGCTACCCACATAGCAATGGGCAAGTAGAGTAGTCAAGCAAGACCATTATTAACGGGTAAAAAAGCGTCTTGAAAGTGCAAAAGGCAAGTGGCTCGAAGAGTTTCCTCATGTGTTATGGGCCTACCGAACCACAGAACGACGTTCAATAGGGGAAACACTCTACTCTTTGACCTACGAAATGGAGGCTATTATTCCACTAGAAGTCGGTCTCCCAACCCTTCGATCGGAATTGTTTGAAGATGTAAATAATGAGGAAGCTATAGCACAAGCCTTGGACATGGCAGAAGGCCGAAGAGAAGCAGCATTGATTAGACTTGTTTCATATCAATAACAACTTATCAAAAGTTTCGATAAGAAAGTTTTCCCATGACAATTCACACTGGTTAGAGGAAAGTCATGGACCATAAAAAGGTGCCTGGCGAAGGGAAGTTAGGACCTAACTGGGAGGGTCTCTAAAAAGTTACAGTTGCAGCTGGAAACGAAGCCCACTACTTGGAAAATCTCAAGGGCAAAGCCATATCTCAGCCCTAGAATATAGCCAACCTCAAAAAGTACTATCAATAGACTAGACCCGCAAAATTATCCGTCAAGTGTACAATCATTTATCCGTTGCTTAATGAGAATGCTTCTTCCTTTCTTTGAACTTTTGTTTCTAACACCTGTACAACTTTATGATCAGAATAGATTATTGCTTAACCCGGTCTTTCTAATCCAAGCCCTGGGGGCATATTTCAAATAAAATTGATTAGCTTTGCTGTCTACCAAATGGACTTAGCTTTAGTGATTACCAAACAGACTTAGCTTTGGTGATTACCAAATGGATTTAGCTTTGGTGTTTACCAAACGGATTTAGTTTTGACAAATATCAAACAGACTTAGCTTTGGTGTTAACCAAATGGATTTAGCTTTAATGATTGTTAAATGGATTTAGCTTTGGTTTTAACCAAACGGACTTCGTTTCGGGTTGACTGAACGGAATTTAGTTTTGGTTAGCACTCAAACACGGTAAGTAGAGTTGCTTGGTGGAATTATGTTTGGCAACTAAAAGGGATCTTAGCCAAGTGGAATTGCTTGGTGGACACCACACAAACGAACTTTCACTAATCATTTTTATTTTCTAGAATTTACAGAATTTCTTAAGTATAAACACATCAATACTTCTGTACTACTCCATACAATGCACAAATTGGAACTGCCTTGGGTAATTCTTTCAGGATCAAGCTCCTAAACCTTAGTCTTACTCAGCTCCAGGTGGGGGCAAACAATTTTTTTTCCAGAACCAACCTGGACCTGAGCAAGACTTCACCTCTTTATATTTTTCATCACATTCAAGTATAATCCTGAAACAAACTTCAGTAAGTTCTGTCCAAGGGCAAAGATCTATAATGCCAATCTTACTTAGCTCTAGGTGGAGGCAAACAATTGTTTTTCTTGAACTCATTTGGACCTAAGTAAGACATTCTCCTTTGATTTCAAGCCAAGCATATCAAGTGACTAGACTGAGCATCTATTTAACCCTGCAGTCCCAATAGTGCTCGGCCGGGGGGCAAACAGTATAGACAATGCAAGCATTAGAATAAGAAAGTATCAGAGCATTAAATTGCAAAGATTAACATGAAAACGTTCCATCATTTAACCATGGCACAGCTGCCCTCACAAAAGTAGCAACAAAAAGAAAAATTGTCTTAATAGGCATCAAAGGAGGCAACTCGTCAGGAAGACCGAGCTCTAGTGTATCAAAACAATAAAATAAAATAAAATAAAATGAGCAAACTTCAAGTCTTTTCAAATAGAAACCACTCTAACTCTCATCAGCAAGAGGAACTTCAAAGGCATCATTCACGATTTTGTCCACGTCAGCTTGGGAAGGAAAAGTAGAGGCAGCTCCAACTTCTTGGGAAGCAAAAGACTCCTTAACCACATCTCCCACAGCCTCAGTCTCCAAGTTCCCACTCCCTTTAGCATCTATTGCTTCATTGGAAACACCGCTCTCAGGAGTCTTGATCGTAGAGTCAACTCTTGGAGAAATCCTTGCTGGAGGAGTAGCAGGGGTGGCAGTAGCCTTCAGACCTAAGGACTTTGAGGGAACTGAAACATTCTGAAGCAAAGAGGACTCTTCAGGAATTTGAACAGCATCCA